GCATGCCCAAACATTCTTAATTAACAAGATTTTAATTTAACCCCCCCAACTTTATACTAAAAGGCATGTTATTAAATACTCCAAGTACTTATTTACTTAAAAATAATTTTAGATTACAAAAGATTCATTTTTAAAAATCACTTTTTCTAAGATTCTTACCTTTCCATTTTTATGCAGTCCAACAGATTTATTATTACTTCCACAAAGATGTTGCATAGTACTAAGATATATCATGCAGCCCCAGCACTAAAACAAATCAATTTTAGCAGCGCTAATTCTCCACAGAGCACCACTTTCTAGCTGAGGCAGATTAACAACTGCAAATCCGAGTGAATCTATTCATAAAGTGGATCATCTCGAAGTAGAAGCAAATTCATAAGTGTAATGCTTGCTTTTGGTACCTCACTTATTTTTCATTTCTCAGATTACTTTGTGAGAAACAATACCAACAGCAAACAAAGCTCAAAAGGAAAACCCCCACAAATTTCAAAATGATGCTGTTAGTATAAAAAAGAAAGGCTGACACATCTCAAAGCGCTGATCAACACCATCATGCATCTACCGCTGAGGTTAAAGCCCGACGCCCGGTATTTAACTATTTGATCTTCACGGATCAGGCAAGGACTTGAAATCATCTCACGTGCAACAGTCTTTGCATAACACCCCACTTTATCCATGCCACAAAGATGGTAAATTTAGTAGTTACCAAGAAATAAGTTGGGGGTCAAAGGGACTAAAGCCTTAGACTGCTCTTTATCATAAGATATCCTCAGACAAACCTCCCCATTCTTCATTCTGGCTCTATAAAATTAAGGAGCAGAGAAAAACTGGTAAGTGCCTGACTTTACAAAGAAAATGCACTCTACATTTCCTTGGTCATTACATGTATGTTTATAAATCAACTGTACCACTCCCCCAGGTCCTCCCCCACAAAAAGCTAGCTTAAAATAGGCACTTAATTGGTGGTGTGGGTGGGGAGGTGGAATGTTCCAAGTATTGCAAAGAATGTCAGTTTAGTAATCTCGGCATGTTGCACTTTAGTAATTTAAGAATCAAGTACCAGTGGCATGTTAAGAAAACGTGTTAAATTCCAACAGACATTAAAAATTGGATAATAGACCAATTTTTCTGGGCTTTACCCCCAAATCTATGTATTCACAGAACCAAATACCAAAAGGAATACACATACAGTTCAGTCTAGAAATGTCAAAACTGAACCACTATTTACCAAGTAATTAAGTAAAATAAAAAAGATCTTTATTATTTGATCACAGTGTCTGATATCGTAGCAATTATTCAAATACCCATTGATGTTATGTTCTCATTACTGATTATAATATGCTAATAGAACAGCTACCATATCCACTGACTGTCTGTCCTGTTGGTCTATAAAACGAAGGACTACCTGAACAAACTATGTGACATATATACAAATCAGGTAAAAGAGAAATTTTTCTGAAGAAAAACATTCTTAAGGATAGGAATGTATATTTCACAGATTTTAAAAGGTCTAAAATCAAAATTATTTTGCGATTTCCCATGTAACATCAAGCCAACAAATATTTGCATTATAAATTTAAAGGCATCTTTGGTGTCTAGAAATAGTCAATTCAAGTAAAAGACCTGACACCAAATAGAAAAGTCACAATACATGGAAAAGTAATTAATTAGGCCCTCCACAAATTTAAACTTGCATTTAGATGAGTGTCTTTACAGCCATATTTACAATGTTGGAAGCAAAATCATTTCATGACATAGGCTAAATGAATACTATATCCCAAATTTTAAGACCAAAAGAGCTACTATAAATCCAGAAGTTTAGATAAATCCGAGAAGAAACGATTTAAATAATTATTATTTATGCATCCAACTGAAAAATACCAACTACTGATAATGTGGACAATGAAAATCTTCAGTATAAAAGGTAAAAAATGGTATCTTAGAAAATCTATTCTGTTCCATACAGAAAAACCTCCAGAATGATTAATCTCTTTATTCCTGAAAAACACAGAAGTTGGTACCTAAAACAGAAGGTTTAAAATACACATACCAAGACAATACACAAAGGGGGGTGTGTGGGGGGGTGACGGGGGAAGGGAGAGAGATGGACAGAGCTCAGTGGTTAAGATTTCACACAGCTCTGAAGTCTAGCAGATCTGGGTTTGGAATGCTAGGACCAGTTGCTGGAACCTCACTGAGCCTCTCCTTCGTCATCTGTTAAAAAGGTACTCATGATCTTTCTCAGGGCATGTTGACGATTAGCACAGGATGCTTCAAAAATACATACTCAGTAAGCATTAGCTCTCATCATAGTTCTTTTTTTTTTTATTTCATAGTTCTTTTTTGTTGTCATAGTGTCCAGACCTGATCTCATGACTGACTATATGTAATATGCTAAGAGAAAACCTACTTTATCACCTGATGGTCTGCCCTGTTTGCCTGTTAAAGGACTACCTAAACAAACCAAAACATGTTTATATAAATTGGGTAAAAGGGAAATTTTTAGCAAATTTAGAAATTTTAGAAACTTAGCAGTCTGTGAAATGCTTTTTCTCATCTTATTCCACTATCTATTTTATGAACATAATATTCAAATACTCTCCTAGAGATGTAAACATGTATCATGTATCAACATATAAATGAATCTATTTTAGGAAACAATCATCTTGTCATCCCTGGATTTGTGACAGTATGTTGGCAAATAAGCTAAATGAGTAACAGGTTAACCTGAACAGAATCATCTGAAGCCTTACTGCCACAAAGAGACTTTAGCTTGGCTTCATAAAAGCCTTAATCTGCAATGTATTATAACTCACTCTAAATTCAGAACAGACTAGCCACATTCTGCCTCCTCAAGAACTGAATGGCTACATTGAGAAAAATGGTTTATTCAGACACCAAATACAAACTGTCTTAATGTACTATCACTTTGGTTTATGTACAAAATGACGTTAAGGTCACAGATAAGAAACTGGGCAAAATTTCTCTTCTAAAGGTAAGAAACTGTAATTAATAGCAGTCAAAAAAATTTTTTTTAAACTAGGGTGAGACAGGGTAAGGAAAATCTTACATGGAACCATAGACATCCCATGCTTCTCTCTACTCCTTTCTACTAAAGATAAAAAAAATACTGCTTCAAAAAGGGAGGTATTATTTACTATTAAAATACTTTAACAGGGGAGATACACACACACACACACACACACACACACACACACACACACACACACACACACATACACTTACAAATAAATATGGACTTGTACTAACGTTTTTATCCCCGATACATCAAATACTCAACACATGCTATAAAGTAAACTTAGTACATTTGCCGTATTTACAAAGTCAATAGCAAGTTCCCAGTAGTTTAAACAACAGTCCAGACACAGGAGAGATCAGTACCCTAAACACTACTCTCCAGAAAAAAATATATTAAAAGGTGAACTTCAAGAACTTTAAAATGTTTTAAGGCAAATGGAATTAATCAAGAAATGATGAAGAACCTGGAAGAAATACCAGGATCTGACATAATATAGCTCCATAATAACAAAATATAAAAGTGAACAAGGGAAGAGACAAATATGAAAAATTCATAGTTCCTGATTCTGCTTTTAACCGAATTTTTAGAAAAGTCTGATTAGTAAACAGCAAAATAAGGAGGTGCTAACTTTAAAACCACATATGAGCTTGCGGTCAGAATATCAGAAGTTAAAAAAGGATCTCCCCAGTGACATGTCTGCAATCAATGAATAAAGCACCGCGGCGAGCTGTACGCACTCAGGAAAGGCGCCGTGCCCCTTTCACTACTGACAGCGGATGGCATCAGGGCTGCCAACCAAAGATTCCACTGGTTCAGGCATCTTAACCACTGTTTTGGTACCTCGAGATCATTACACGCACAATGTGTTGTCTCACGTTTAACAGGTGTATGTTCTGGATGATATCGTCCCAACTTTGAGCAATCCTCACAACTGACCCAGTCAGTGACTGATGCAGAGCCATTATTGAGGCCCTTCCTCCCACAGGGGCCCACTAGAAATTATAATGGACAAAAAGAGATTTACTCTTCTTAGTTCACATTTCTGTTATAGCAGAAATGCTAAAAAACTGGATTTAAAGCCTCCTTTCATAGTAAAAAAGGCAATTATCTTAATGAAAACATACATTTTTTATATTCACTACTCCTTTCTATTTGATTAAAACCACAATTACTGCTAAAGCATAATTCAACTTGGTATCTGAATTAAGGTATCCTTAAGTTTTTTGAAAAAGGTGGCCCTATCTGTGAAACTTTAAACTTCGGAAATTGAAGGTCCAGAAACAACAAATACACAGTTAACCCAGGACAACTATGGAAACTGGAAAGGGAAGATGGTTTATAAATGGCTCTCGTGATAGATATCAAGGCAAAATAAGAACACAGTTATTTGACAGAACACGGTTTGTTATTTAAAAAGAGCCAAGAGAAGGCCAACTACCTTTTAGTTAGTCTTGCTAACATAAAACTACAGACGTCTACAAAAAGTGTAATTATAACACTGTCATTTGCTTGGCTACATTTGCACTTAATGGACATGAGGTGAAAATATGAACCAATCTGGGATGAAAACGCCACAGTCTCACAGTCAACTGATGGAGAACAGGGGTTACCGTAAGTAAGTAATTCACAACAACGGATGGAGAGTTCTCAAATTCCTGTTATCTTGATGAATCTTTTCCCTTCTTAGTCTGTCCTCTAAAGGTTCAGACTCTCGTGTTTTAGGGTCCAAAAATGGGCCATCATTATGACAGACCATCTCCAAAGTAAACAATCCATCCACAGATAACTGAGTTGATGAGATGGACACATATTCCCATCAAGAAACTGTACATGGACACTACATGCCAAGCATGCTTCAGAGTAATTTCTGAGAGTCTACGAATGAGGGAGCACAACTGAGACTTCCCTGGCAAGAGCAAAACATGCTACTGCCCAGCGAAGAGAACTCTGATTAGCTTACCTCCTGCAGTAGATCAGCCTGCTCAATTGCTTTAAGGACATTTTTCTTGGATGTTTCCTGAACTTCCCCTCCCAAAAGAAACTCATCCAAAATAAAATAAGCCTTCTCAAAATTAAAGATGATATCAAGTTCACACACCTGAAAAGCAAGGAAAACAATGGTAAAACTGAAAAAAGCAAAAGGTACTTACCCACTATCAGGTAGTGAATAAAATCTGATCAGAGCAAATCCATCTTAATTCTTTCTAAAAATGGCAATCTTGCTAACTAAGCATCATCAATTTAGTCAGCATATTTCTCAAATCTCAAGTACTTGGAAACACAACGCCTACAAGCTAAGTAAGAAAGACCTGATTCTGGAAGCTCCCAACATGGGCAACGTAATAATTTTCTACTCACGAAAACTGATCTTTTTAAATACGTATTTCCCGGATAATGTGATCGTAACTGCTTACCAAATCTAAATTCTATATTAAGCACTTCCAGAATGTTAATCTCTGCAGTTGAACTCCTTTCTGTTTCACTATTTTAAACCTTATTCTCACGACCGTCATTAAATGAGGCAGCGGGGTCAAGCACTACAGCAGTTAAGTGGCTGTGCACGCTGGCAAGAGTCAGAGTCAGCCCTTCCCTCTCCTGCAGTTACTTTCAAAGAGTCAGAATCCCCAAGACAATCAAATAATAAACTTGTTACAGAAAAGATTAAAAAAAGATACTATGGCATTCAATTTTCTAAAACAAAATACTACTCACACTGCCAAAATACTTGTCAAGTAATTCCACATAACGATGAATTATTTCCAGGGTAATTAGCTCATTGTCCTGATCCTCGATAGCACAGCAAAAATACAGACTAGCATATCTGTAACAAAAGCAAATGTGGAAAAAATTTTACTCTATAATCATGTTTTCTAAATATATTTTCATATCCTATTGTGAAAGACCCCATACTTAAACAATTCATTTTCCCTTTTACAACAGTGTAGATTATTTTCCTCCCGGAGTGCAAAAGTAATGAATGCATATAGAGAAAGTTTGAAAGGTACAGGCAAGAAAAAAAAAAATCACTCAAATCACACCATCTAGAAAGACAAACTTATTCTGCTCTTCTTCCTTTCAGGCTCCTTTCTAAGAATATTCATAGAAATACATATAATATTCTAAAACATAGCTGGACCCAGTTACAAAACACATTGAATGAAATACAACGGCCCTCAATTGTATGAAATACGATCTTGTGTTTACTTAACTAAAACAAAATGCACTGTGATTAATGCAAACTACAAGTAAACAGGGAAGAAGATAAACTTTCCGACTAAAGGACTTATTGAAGATATTGTCAATGTGAAGCCAATGTCCCAAAATGTTTTACTGGAGCGTTAATATGCACAAAGAGAACACAAATCATGTATGTACAGCTTAAGGAGTTTTCAAAGTGAACCCACCTGTGTATCAGCACCCTGATCAAGAAACAGATTATCGAACTCCTGAATCCCCTCCCCTAGCCTCTCCAGTTCACCACCTGCCACCCCAAAGGGTAACTACTATCTTGACTTCTAATAGCATAAAATTGTTTTTTAAAAGGAGGTTTCTAGATCTGTGGAATAAACTCCAAGAAAAGAACAGCTCTGTTTTTACAGAAGTTAGAGAAAGAGAACAGGGGAAAACTGAAACCTGTCCTCAAATTTTCCAAGTTCTACCTGTTAAATGAAAGTTTTGGTTATTTACCCTTCATGAAGAATAAGATTGGAAAAGTAAATATTCTCTTCCAAATTAGGATTGTAGCACATGGGACTAGACTATACTTGACTCAAGGAAGCCAAAACTTAAGACAACCTTGAGGCATAGCAAACAATGACCAAGTCCTTTGAGAAGGATTAAAAGAACATTTTCAAATGGTTTAAGTGTATTAAAGGCTTTTGAAACAAACAAAAAACAAAACACCTATGACATTCTTAACAAGTCTCAGTTTAGATTGTAATTTTCACTGAGGAGCATTTAAGGGATTTTTGGGAAACACGATGAGCAACTACTGCTCATAGCATTGATGGAAAATAATATATGCAAACACATAATCTGTTTTGGAACCCAATGAATTTCTGCTCTTCAGTATGAGAGTAACTAGTATTTACAGAATCCTCTATTAATTTTAAATTTATCAAATGATTAAGTAAAGATCAATTATTTGATCTTTCCAACAGCAAGCACCATCATCCTTGACTGGGGGGTGGGGGGTAGAGGACAAAAAAACTGAGGCCCCAAGAGTACAGGGTCTGCCAAGTGGTTGCTCTGGGACAAGAAATCTGATCTTCGGACATCAACTCCAGGCCTTTTCCCACTCCACCTTAGGGACTCCCTTGTCATCCACAGCTTGACTTTTCTGCCGTGTCCATTCTACCGGACTCACACATTCAGTAAGTTATTTAAAATGGTAGGAGAGTCTGTTGCAGTCTTAGAGAGGGGGCTTTCCAATGTGTTCATTTATTAGCATGAAGGACATAACAGGGCACCACCTCCAACTTTAACAAAATGTTTCCTCTCTTTCCTACCCTATGGTTTTATCTGTTTAACAGGCAATGGGATGTTCCAATTCTCCACCCTCCCTAACCCATGCTCACCAAATAGTTTTGAATTTGGGGAAATTGATACAAATGATACGTTACAAGTCCCTGAATTAAGAAAACTAAAAATTAAAGGAACTGGCATTAAAATGGTAGATAAAAAAAAAAAAACAGCCACGAACAGCGCACATGAACAGGGTGCTATTTCAATAATCCCATTAGAAAGAATTTACTAAGTCAGTTACTAATAGTAAAATTCCTTTTAGTCTTAATGTCAGCATTTCGACAATGCTACTGTTAAGTAATCGAATGCTTGCCCCATGGTCCTTGCTCCTCATCCACAGTACTGCCAGTGCTGCCTTATTACAAATAAACAGCACTGAAACACTAGTCATCGGTCTTCAACTGTAGAATCACTTGGAAATATTAACTTAACTATCACAAGGACTGGGGGCTCCTGGGTGGCTCAGTCAGTTAAGTGTCCAACTCTTGGTTTTGGCTCAGGTCATGATCTCACAGTTCTTGAGTTCTAGCCCTGCATCAGGCTCTGTGCTACAGCTTGGGATATTCTCTCTTTTGCTCTCACTCTCAAAATAAATAAATAAACTTAAAATTAAAGAACTGTTTTAAATACCACCAGGACTGATGTGTCTAAGCATCAGCTGATAGTATTTTAAAAATCCTGCAATTCTACCTAAATGTAGAATGGACAAAGAGCCATCCAAGTAAAATTCTTTGCTGTAAGTGAACAGCTAGTTATCAGGATTCTAAGACACCACTTTACAGAAAGCTTACTGAAGAAACAGAATAGTGACAGGTAAGATTCACGGAGTCCTCGCTCTGAATGAGACACTAAATATTAGCTGAGGCTTTTGCATATTTTACTATTTGAATCCTCACAACTCTTCTAGAAAGATACCATTATTACTTGCATTTACAGGAGACCCAGGCTTAATTGAGTAACCTCCCTAGGAAGAGCAATTTGACTCCAAAGCCCAAGTTTTATATTAAAAACAATAACCAGGAACTGTATTAAATAGAGTAATCCTGCACCTGGCAAAAATTAAAACTGAATAGGCAGTATTTTAAGAGGTTTGAAGAGGCAGTGAAATGGTGTTACACTGATTTAGTAAAAGATTACCAAGAGAACCCTATTTTTGAGCCAAATGCTTTTTAAAAAATTCAATTATGAGCTCATTTTTTCTTAGTACATATTTGTAAGTCTAAATCTGAAGTAAAATTAATAATAGACTAGTAAGAAGAAAGGCATGTTTGGTTATTTTTAGCACAGTGGATTAAGGCTTACTCTAATTACTGGCACTCAGAGAACATCTGAAAGTGCCTATTCTTATACTCAAAACACATGACTTCTCTGCAGTCAGCTAAGTGTCAGCTGACTATGGGTGAATGTAACGAAACTGTTCTCAATCCCACTGGTATGTCATTAAAAATTATTTTGTTAGTAAAGAAAATAAGGTATTCTGGCAAATTCTCAAACTAGTAATTTGGACCTATGTATTTTTAAACTCATTGTAAAACTTTAATCTAGTGCCTCTTCCATAGCATGCTGCATAAAATACACGCTTCAGCCTTTAAGGGATCTTCAAGAGCATTTATTTCAGACATGAGGAAAAAAGGAAAAATGACTTGTTTAAAGTTACAAAACTAGCTAAGGGTGCGAACCAAGCAGAACTCAAGTCCCCTGATTTTCAGTCTGTATTTTCAGCTATATTATCCCTATCAACCCCCCCCCACCTGCTCCCCAAGAGGGGGAACTGTTTAAGTGAAATACTCAGCAAGAAGAATGTGGCTGAGACAAAGGGGGGAAGGAAGACCTAAAGACCACTTACTGACAGGAACAGCCAGAGTCCTGGTTCACAATCTCTCAGAAGTGATAGCTCTTTTGCTTAAAAAGGTCTTCTCTTCCAGCTGGACTAAGGGGGAAAAAATCACCTGTTTCTATGAATATGTCCTTAAATATAAAACATGAGGTTTTCAGTATGAAATGGGGCAGATGTATCGAAAAATTGACTGAAGATTCTAACTTCTGTAGGTGAATTTTATTTCAATAAGGCTGTTTTTTAAGTGCACCTTTTGTTTATAGCCGCTTGATACAAGTATCAGAGTCAGGTTAGATTACCCTTTATAGCCCTTCATAAGAAAAACTGGCGGCCCGACGTGGGTGGGCTGAATCCTGTGTGCGGGAATACCAAGGAGTGCTTTCTTTCCCTCTGTTTAACAGGCCATTGCCTTCTGCTGCAGGAATCTCGATTCCTGGGATTGATTCCCTTGCTAGTATTTTCCTCCTCCACACGGGGGACTCCTTCCCCTATCTAGAAATAAGCTTAAGTCACTCGCACCTTTTTAAAAACCCTGTTTCCGACTCCTGCATCTATGGGTGGTTACCACCTCTTCGCGTCTTCGGAGCAAAGCTCCCCAAATAGTCTACACTTGGTGTTTAAAAGTCTCCACCTCTTCTTCACACTTTGCTCCATTTCTTCGAGACTCCTGTTCCTACTATTTCACTGAAAATGTTCCCACAGATGGCATTTTATGAACTCTCATTGTAAAACCTAAAAGATTCTTTTCTTCATTTAAACTGTTTTTGCAATTTTGGCAATGGTGACTTAATTTGCAAAACTCTCTCCCTTTCCCTGACGTTACTGACCCTATACAATACACCCTTTGCTTGCCCTTTGAATGCTGGTGATCTAACACTTTATGCCTCGTTTCCCCCCTGACTTCCACACTCACCCCGAGAAAACTAGGCATCTTCAAATCGAAGTCATACAGGCATCGCAAAGTCAACATGTCTGCTACCTCCAATTTCCCCGTCAGCTGAACCAGAAATGTGGAATCACTGCCCCCCTCCTTTTAGCAGCCACCAAGTCTTCTAAAACTTACCTCATAGTAACAGCTCTCTCCACCTGCTGTGCACACAGCAGCAGTCTTCCTTCAGGGCCTCATTATAATGCGGTCTCCTTAAGAGACCCCTCAGGTGCCAGTCCCGGTGCTCCCCTTACCCATTCTCCTATTACAAGGATCTTTTAAGAAATACATATGTGCTCTTTTCTCATCCCCATTTAAAACCTTTGCCTCCAGGCTTAATATTTCAGTTCTAGTCTCCATGTCAGTCACTAACTAGAACGTGACCTTGAACAAGTAAGGTCTCCCAAATTCTTCTTTTCTAAAATTGAAGTTTAATCAACAGTAGCCATTTTAGGGGCACCTGGGTGGCTCAGTTGGTTAAACATCCTACTTCGGCTCAGGTCATGATCTTATGGTTCATGGATTTGAGTCCCACATTGGGCTCTGTGCTGACAGCTCAGAGCCTGGAGCCTGCTTTGGATTCTGTGTTCCCCCCTCTCTCTGCACCTCCCCCGCTCACACTGTGTGTGTGTGTGTGTGTGTGTGTGTGTGTGTGTGTGTG